AATTATAATTAATGATAATTAAGTCAAACTAATTATAATTAATCATGGTTAACTAGGGTTAATCATGATTAGGACAAATTCATCATAATTATCCACAAGTATTCTTATTTGATAATATTAATAATAAGTAATTAACAAATCCACATTCCCAACTACAACAATAAGTTAAATCTCTGTTACTGGAACACTAACCTGCAGCTAGAGGTCAGTGTTTCTCACACTTTTTTTTGGACTGATCCACATGATGGAATTATTATTATGTAAATGTAAATATTATTATGTAAATTATTTAATGTGAAGAAATTGTGTTTAGTTTTTGTATCATCAGTATTATTCAGTCAACGGTCGTCATGGTAACAGTCAGACTGGTTGGAAAGGGACCACTGTAGACTGCACTTTTAAAAATATAAAAAAGTTCCCTCCTGACCTCAGATCAGTTTTTAAAGTTGAACTTGTATTTGAATGATTTATTTTGATGTTTTTTGTTTTGTTTTGTTTTTTTCCAGTTACGGCCGGGTTTACACCACAGATCCATACCACGCTTTAACTCCTGCTGCTGCTGCTTATGGAGTCGGAGCCATGGTGAGGAGAACACACACACACACACACACACGTGTCATTAGGTTTATCAACCAATGAGAGTATTGGGGGTGGGGCTTAGTTTTTTTTTTCTGAATGAATTGGTTCATATACTGTAGCAGTTTGAGTAATGGATTAATCGCAGGAAATTATGTGATTAATTTATCTGTTAATTTATACCTACTGCCCACTAGGGGTGTGTAATGAGCAGTTTACTGCAGCACTATAGGCACGACATCATAGAAATAAGAGCAAAATAAAATGAACCAACGTGGTGAATAATCGCAGGTTAATTGTTAATCAAAACATTATTGTCGTATTGTGAAACAAAATATTGCGATATTTCAATGTATTGATATTTTCTTTACACCTCCTCCTCCTCCTCCCCCCCCCCCCCCCCCCCGCTTCCTCTCACTGCTTGTGTCTCCTCTGTCTTCCAGGCCAGTTTATACCGGGCAGGATACAGTCGATTCGCTCCGTACTAAAACAACACATCGGT